TCCATGTTGTATTTGTGTATTGATAGTTGATCTAGAAAAATATAGTTAAGGAAGACAATGTAAAACAAAGAACTCCATTATTTTAAAAAGTTGCCAGAAAAAGATATGAAATAAATAGAAAACCAAGTGTCTAGCAAAATAAAAACACATGGAGAACATAAGCTCGATCCTTATTGAAAACAATTAATTATTGGAGACTCTTCTGCATGCTACGCTTAACGTCAATTCTCGGTGAGTTGGTGGAGCTTAGCTTCGCTTTTATTTGCTTCAGGATGCTGGCTAATTAGTCCATCCGGATTGACCAGCTCTCTACTGGCCTCTGTAGGAAGTTGCTTGGGGCAATGCTTATTCGAAGTGGAAGATCCGGCTGGGACACCATGCATTGATTCAAAATCACGCTTCGGTGATGGGGTTGAGCCATCATCTGAAATGCTTTGGCTGTTACTCTTGACAACCGACAACTAAAACATAGGTGAGGATGAAAAGATTAATCAAAGTTCATATTATGTTGATTACAATAAAAAATGGGTTTAACGTGAATGTAAGAAAACAGGGTGTGTGATATACCTCTATTTTACATGCTTTTTATATGGTTTTACTATGCTTTTCATAAGGTTTTTAATGGCTCTCTGATCTAAAAAGGTAGTTTTTATGGATTTATAGTACTTAGAGTCTAAACAGGTCAAAAGATGCATTTTGGAGCAAAACACATGATTTGGACTTCAAGACCGCTCCAGGAGGTAGCATCAACTTAAGAAGGGCCTTAAAAACTATCTACTCAATGGAATTCATCAAATCCAGTTCGAGGAGATGAATACAGGAGTTAGCTTTGCAATGCAACTGAAATCAATCAATTTTACCGAGTAGATTGGGAGATATCTCTATTTCCCTGAGACATATACCGAGGAGATTTATCGGACTGCATCAGTACATCAGACGAGCAGCAGCGGATTAGACCCTTAAACTCAATGGATTTCAATGAAACTCAACACCAAGATAGCCAGATGAGTTATTGTTCTAATGCCGTTGTAAGTATGCAATTTGGATAAGCCGTTTAGGAGATATCACGTTTGTACTGAAGACTGGTCCACAGCCGGCCGAACGCACTCGGCCGGACAGGAAGGGTATTGGCTTCGCTCGGCCTTCTCCAGGACCGATCCGGCCGCACGACCGCACCGTCCGACCCGGGAGGCAATGGACCACGATCGACCGAGATCATCGCATCACGGTCGACCAGACCGAAAATCCAGGTTATCATCCGAAAATCCTCCAAAAACATCATCGTCATCTGGTGAGATATCCTGCAGTACTCTCCTTCCACGTTGTCTCTTCCTCTTTTGTAAGTTCTGTAACCTTGACTCATTTTCACCTGACCATGGAAACCAAATCCTCATCATGATTCTACTTCATCAATTAGACAATAAAATAAAAAAAGGAGATGGGTGCATGTTACCGGTTCTGAGTTTGGATCTACATTTTCATTGTTACTTGAGGTCAATTTCCTCTTCCTCGTGACTGGAGGTTTAGTGTTCTTATTAAACTTGTCACTCAAGCTTAAAATATAACAATTGAGATTCCCGGTTTCACCAAACTTTTCAAATATATAAACATTCCCACCTATATAAAGAACTAACTTTTACAAAATACAAATCTTAAACAGAATAATTAATCGTCCAATTCCTTGTATTTTTATAGAAATATAATTTGGTTATATAATTAGAGAGTGTCATCTTTTGCAAAAACATGTCTATTGACACCCTCACATTATTTACAGAGTATAGATCACATTATTTCCAATAAATTTTGCGTTATATTTTTCTAGGTTTATGAATATATAAAGGTTAAAACATCTTGAACATTTGTAGATCACATTACTTAAAGGTAATCCAATAACTGCGGTTAATTTAGTATATGACGTTTCAGAGCATGTACTTGGCATCTATTATGTACGTATCCTACTCATTGGAAAATTCTCCATGTTGTATTTGTGTATTGATAGTTGATCTAGAAAAATATAGTTAAGGAAGACTATGTAAAACAAAGAACTCCATTATTTTAAAAAGTTGCCAGAAAAAGATATGAAATAAATAGAAAACCAAGTGTCTAGCAAAATAAAAACACATGGAGAACATAAGCTCGATCCTTATTGAAAACAATTAATTATTGGAGACTCTTCTGCATGCTACGCTTAACGTCAATTCTCGGTGAGTTGGTGGAGCTTAGCTTCCCTTTTATTTGCTTCAGGATGCTGGCTAATTAGTCCATCCGGATTGACCAGCTCTCTACTGGCCTCTGTAGGAAGTTGCTTGGGGCAATGCTTCTTCGAAGTGGAAGATCCGGCTGGGACACCATGCATTGATTCAAAATCACGCTTCGGTGATGGGGTTGAGCCATCATCTGAAATGCTTTGGCTGTTACTCTTGACAACCGACAACTAAAACATAGGTGAGGATGAAAAGATTAATCAAAGTTCATATTATGTTGATTACAATAAAAAATGGGTTTAACGTGAATGTAAGAAAACAGGGTGTGTGATATACCTCTATTTTACATGCTTTTTATATGGTTTTACTATGCTTTTCATAAGGTTTTTAATGGCTCTCTGATCTAAAAAGGTAGTTTTTATGGATTTATAGTACTTAGAGTCTAAACAGGTCAAAAGATGCATTTTGGAGCAAAACACATGATTTGGACTTCAAGACCGCTCCAGGAGGTAGCATCAACTTAAGAAGGGCCTTAAAAACTATCTACTCAATGGAATTCATCAAATCGAGTTCGAGGAGATGAATACAGGAGTTAGCTTTGCAATGCAACTGAAATCAATCAATTTTACCGAGTAGATTGGGAGATATCTCTATTTCCCTGAGACATATACCGAGGAGATTTATCGGACTGCATCAGTACATCAGACGAGCAGCAGCGGATTAGACCCTTAAACTCAATGGATTTCAATGAAACTCAACACCAAGATAGCCAGATGAGTTATTGTTCTAATGCCGTTGTAAGTATGCAATTTGGATAAGCCGTTTAGGAGATATCACGTTTGTACTGAAGACTGGTCCACAGCCGGCCGAACGCACTCGGCCGGACAGGAAGGGTATTGGCTTCGCTCGGCCTTCTCCAGGACCGATCCGGCCGCACGACCGCACCGTCCGACCCGGGAGGCAATGGACCACGATCGACCGAGATCATCGCATCACGGTCGACCAGACCGAAAATCCAGGTTATCATCCGAAAATCCTCCAAAAACATCATCGTCATCTGGTGAGATATCCTGCAGTACTCTCCTTCCACGTTGTCTCTTCCTCTTTTGTAAGTTCTGTAACCTTGACTCATTTTCACCTGACCATGGAAACCAAATCCTCATCATGATTCTACTTCATCAATTAGACAATAAAATAAAAAAAGGAGATGGGTGCATGTTACCGGTTCTGAGTTTGGATCTACATTTTCATTGTTACTTGAGGTCAATTTCCTCTTCCTCGTGACTGGAGGTTTAGTGTTCTTATTAAACTTGTCACTCAAGCTTAAAATATAACAATTGAGATTCCCGGTTTCACCAAACTTTTCAAATATATAAACATTCCCACCTATATAAAGAACTAACTTTTACAAAATACAAATCTTAAACAGAATAATTAATCGTCCAATTCCTTGTATTTTTATAGAAATATAATTTGGTTATATAATTAGAGAGTGTCATCTTTTGCAAAAACATGTCTATTGACACCCTCACATTATTTACAGAGTATAGATCACATTATTTCCAATAAATTTTGCGTTATATTTTTCTAGGTTTATGAATATATAAAGGTTAAAACATCTTGAACATTTGTAGATCACATTACTTAAAGGTAATCCAATAACTGCGGTTAATTTAGTATATGACGTTTCAGAGCATGTACTTGGCATCTATTATGTACGTATCCTACTCATTGGAAAATTCTCCATGTTGTATTTGTGTATTGATAGTTGATCTAGAAAAATATAGTTAAGGAAGACAATGTAAAACAAAGAACTCCATTATTTTAAAAAGTTGCCAGAAAAAGATATGAAATAAATAGAAAACCAAGTGTCTAGCAAAATAAAAACACATGGAGAACATAAGCTCGATCCTTATTGAAAACAATTAATTATTGGAGACTCTTCTGCATGCTACGCTTAACGTCAATTCTCGGTGAGTTGGTGGAGCTTAGCTTCGCTTTTATTTGCTTCAGGATGCTGGCTAATTAGTCCATCCGGATTGACCAGCTCTCTACTGGCCTCTGTAGGAAGTTGCTTGGGGCAATGCTTCTTCGAAGTGGAAGATCCGGCTGGGACACCATGCATTGATTCAAAATCACGCTTCGGTGATGGGGTTGAGCCATCATCTGAAATGCTTTGGCTGTTACTCTTGACAACCGACAACTAAAACATAGGTGAGGATGAAAAGATTAATCAAAGTTCATATTATGTTGATTACAATAAAAAATGGGTTTAACGTGAATGTAAGAAAACAGGGTGTGTGATATACCTCTATTTTACATGCTTTTTATATGGTTTTACTATGCTTTTCATAAGCTTTTTAATGGCTCTCTGATCTAAAAAGGTAGTTTTTATGGATTTATAGTACTTAGAGTCTAAACAGGTCAAAAGATGCATTTTGGAGCAAAACACATGATTTGGACTTCAAGACCGCTCCAGGAGGTAGCATCAACTTAAGAAGGGCCTTAAAAACTATCTACTCAATGGAATTCATCAAATCGAGTTCGAGGAGATGAATACAGGAGTTAGCTTTGCAATGCAACTGAAATCAATCAATTTTACCGAGTAGATTGGGAGATATCTCTATTTCCCTGAGACATATACCGAGGAGATTTATCGGACTGCATCAGTACATCAGACGAGCAGCAGCGGATTAGACCCTTAAACTCAATGGATTTCAATGAAACTCAACACCAAGATAGCCAGATGAGTTATTGTTCTAATGCCGTTGTAAGTATGCAATTTGGATAAGCCGTTTAGGAGATATCACGTTTGTACTGAAGACTGGTCCACAGCCGGCCGAACGCACTCGGCCGGACAGGAAGGGTATTGGCTTCGCTCGGCCTTCTCCAGGACCGATCCGGCCGCACGACCGCACCGTCCGACCCGGGAGGCAATGGACCACGATCGACCGAGATCATCGCATCACGGTCGACCAGACCGAAAATCCAGGTTATCATCCGAAAATCCTCCAAAAACATCATCGTCATCTGGTGAGATATCCTGCAGTACTCTCCTTCCACGTTGTCTCTTCCTCTTTTGTAAGTTCTGTAACCTTGACTCATTTTCACCTGACCATGGAAACCAAATCCTCATCATGATTCTACTTCATCAATTAGACAATAAAATAAAAAAAGGAGATGGGTGCATGTTACCGGTTCTGAGTTTGGATCTACATTTTCATTGTTACTTGAGGTCAATTTCCTCTTCCTCGTGACTGGAGGTTTAGTGTTCTTATTAAACTTGTCACTCAAGCTTAAAATATAACAATTGAGATTCCCGGTTTCACCAAACTTTTCAAATATATAAACATTCCCACCTATATAAAGAACTAACTTTTACAAAATACAAATCTTAAACAGAATAATTAATCGTCCAATTCCTTGTATTTTTATAGAAATATAATTTGGTTATATAATTAGAGAGTGTCATCTTTTGCAAAAACATGTCTATTGACACCCTCACATTATTTACAGAGTATAGATCACATTATTTCCAATAAATTTTGCGTTATATTTTTCTAGGTTTATGAATATATAAAGGTTAAAACATCTTGAACATTTGTAGATCACATTACTTAAAGGTAATCCAATAACTGCGGTTAATTTAGTATATGACGTTTCAGAGCATGTACTTGGCATCTATTATGTACGTATCCTACTCATTGGAAAATTCTCCATGTTGTATTTGTGTATTGATAGTTGATCTAGAAAAATATAGTTAAGGAAGACAATGTAAAACAAAGAACTCCATTATTTTAAAAAGTTGCCAGAAAAAGATATGAAATAAATAGAAAACCAAGTGTCTAGCAAAATAAAAACACATGGAGAACATAAGCTCGATCCTTATTGAAAACAATTAATTATTGGAGACTCTTCTGCATGCTACGCTTAACGTCAATTCTCGGTGAGTTGGTGGAGCTTAGCTTCCTTTTATTTGCTTCAGGATGCTGGCTAATTAGTCCATCCGGATTGACCAGCTCTCTACTGGCCTCTGTAGGAAGTTGCTTGGGGCAATGCTTCTTCGAAGTGGAAGATCCGGCTGGGACACCATGCATTGATTCAAAATCACGCTTCGGTGATGGGGTTGAGCCATCATCTGAAATGCTTTGGCTGTTACTCTTGACAACCGACAACTAAAACATAGGTGAGGATGAAAAGATTAATCAAAGTTCATATTATGTTGATTACAATAAAAAATGGGTTTAACGTGAATGTAAGAAAACAGGGTGTGTGATATACCTCTATTTTACATGCTTTTTATATGGTTTTACTATGCTTTTCATAAGGTTTTTAATGGCTCTCTGATCTAAAAAGGTAGTTTTTATGGATTTATAGTACTTAGAGTCTAAACAGGTCAAAAGATGCATTTTGGAGCAAAACACATGATTTGGACTTCAAGACCGCTCCAGGAGGTAGCATCAACTTAAGAAGGGCCTTAAAAACTATCTACTCAATGGAATTCATCAAATCGAGTTCGAGGAGATGAATACAGGAGTTAGCTTTGCAATGCAACTGAAATCAATCAATTTTACCGAGTAGATTGGGAGATATCTCTATTTCCCTGAGACATATACCGAGGAGATTTATCGGACTGCATCAGTACATCAGACGAGCAGCAGCGGATTAGACCCTTAAACTCAATGGATTTCAATGAAACTCAACACCAAGATAGCCAGATGAGTTATTGTTCTAATGCCGTTGTAAGTATGCAATTTGGATAAGCCGTTTAGGAGATATCACGTTTGTACTGAAGACTGGTCCACAGCCGGCCGAACGCACTCGGCCGGACAGGAAGGGTATTGGCTTCGCTCGGCCTTCTCCAGGACCGATCCGGCCGCACGACCGCACCGTCCGACCCGGGAGGCAATGGACCACGATCGACCGAGATCATCGCATCACGGTCGACCAGACCGAAAATCCAGGTTATCATCCGAAAATCCTCCAAAAACATCATCGTCATCTGGTGAGATATCCTGCAGTACTCTCCTTCCACGTTGTCTCTTCCTCTTTTGTAAGTTCTGTAACCTTGACTCATTTTCACCTGACCATGGAAACCAAATCCTCATCATGATTCTACTTCATCAATTAGACAATAAAATAAAAAAAGGAGATGGGTGCATGTTACCGGTTCTGAGTTTGGATCTACATTTTCATTGTTACTTGAGGTCAATTTCCTCTTCCTCGTGACTGGAGGTTTAGTGTTCTTATTAAACTTGTCACTCAAGCTTAAAATATAACAATTGAGATTCCCGGTTTCACCAAACTTTTCAAATATATAAACATTCCCACCTATATAAAGAACTAACTTTTACAAAATACAAATCTTAAACAGAATAATTAATCGTCCAATTCCTTGTATTTTTATAGAAATATAATTTGGTTATATAATTAGAGAGTGTCATCTTTTGCAAAAACATGTCTATTGACACCCTCACATTATTTACAGAGTATAGATCACATTATTTCCAATAAATTTTGCGTTATATTTTTCTAGGTTTATGAATATATAAAGGTTAAAACATCTTGAACATTTGTAGATCACATTACTTAAAGGTAATCCAATAACTGCGGTTAATTTAGTATATGACGTTTCAGAGCATGTACTTGGCATCTATTATGTACGTATCCTACTCATTGGAAAATTCTCCATGTTGTATTTGTGTATTGATAGTTGATCTAGAAAAATATAGTTAAGGAAGACAATGTAAAACAAAGAACTCCATTATTTTAAAAAGTTGCCAGAAAAAGATATGAAATAAATAGAAAACCAAGTGTCTAGCAAAATAAAAACACATGGAGAACATAAGCTCGATCCTTATTGAAAACAATTAATTATTGGAGACTCTTCTGCATGCTACGCTTAACGTCAATTCTCGGTGAGTTGGTGGAGCTTAGCTTCGCTTTTATTTGCTTCAGGATGCTGGCTAATTAGTCCATCCGGATTGACCAGCTCTCTACTGGCCTCTGTAGGAAGTTGCTTGGGGCAATGCTTCTTCGAAGTGGAAGATCCGGCTGGGACACCATGCATTGATTCAAAATCACGCTTCGGTGATGGGGTTGAGCCATCATCTGAAATGCTTTGGCTGTTACTCTTGACAACCGACAACTAAAACATAGGTGAGGATGAAAAGATTAATCAAAGTTCATATTATGTTGATTACAATAAAAAATGGGTTTAACGTGAATGTAAGAAAACAGGGTGTGTGATATACCTCTATTTTACATGCTTTTTATATGGTTTTACTATGCTTTTCATAAGGTTTTTAATGGCTCTCTGATCTAAAAAGGTAGTTTTTATGGATTTATAGTACTTAGAGTCTAAACAGGTCAAAAGATGCATTTTGGAGCAAAACACATGATTTGGACTTCAAGACCGCTCCAGGAGGTAGCATCAACTTAAGAAGGGCCTTAAAAACTATCTACTCAATGGAATTCATCAAATCCAGTTCGAGGAGATGAATACAGGAGTTAGCTTTGCAATGCAACTGAAATCAATCAATTTACCGAGTAGATTGGGAGATATCTCTATTTCCCTGAGACATATACCGAGGAGATTTATCGGACTGCATCAGTACATCAGACGAGCAGCAGCGGATTAGACCCTTAAACTCAATGGATTTCAATGAAACTCAACACCAAGATAGCCAGATGAGTTATTGTTCTAATGCCGTTGTAAGTATGCAATTTGGATAAGCCGTTTAGGAGATATCACGTTTGTACTGAAGACTGGTCCACAGCCGGCCGAACGCACTCGGCCGGACAGGAAGGGTATTGGCTTCGCTCGGCCTTCTCCAGGACCGATCCGGCCGCACGACCGCACCGTCCGACCCGGGAGGCAATGGACCACGATCGACCGAGATCATCGCATCACGGTCGACCAGACCGAAAATCCAGGTTATCATCCGAAAATCCTCCAAAAACATCATCGTCATCTGGTGAGATATCCTGCAGTACTCTCCTTCCACGTTGTCTCTTCCTCTTTTGTAAGTTCTGTAACCTTGACTCATTTTCACCTGACCATGGAAACCAAATCCTCATCATGATTCTACTTCATCAATTAGACAATAAAATAAAAAAAGGAGATGGGTGCATGTTACCGGTTCTGAGTTTGGATCTACATTTTCATTGTTACTTGAGGTCAATTTCCTCTTCCTCGTGACTGGAGGTTTAGTGTTCTTATTAAACTTGTCACTCAAGCTTAAAATATAACAATTGAGATTCCCGGTTTCACCAAACTTTTCAAATATATAAACATTCCCACCTATATAAAGAACTAACTTTTACAAAATACAAATCTTAAACAGAATAATTAATCGTCCAATTCCTTGTATTTTTATAGAAATATAATTTGGTTATATAATTAGAGAGTGTCATCTTTTGCAAAAACATGTCTATTGACACCCTCACATTATTTACAGAGTATAGATCACATTATTTCCAATAAATTTTGCGTTATATTTTTCTAGGTTTATGAATATATAAAGGTTAAAACATCTTGAACATTTGTAGATCACATTACTTAAAGGTAATCCAATAACTGCGGTTAATTTAGTATATGACGTTTCAGAGCATGTACTTGGCATCTATTATGTACGTATCCTACTCATTGGAAAATTCTCCATGTTGTATTTGTGTATTGATAGTTGATCTAGAAAAATATAGTTAAGGAAGACAATGTAAAACAAAGAACTCCATTATTTTAAAAAGTTGCCAGAAAAAGATATGAAATAAATAGAAAACCAAGTGTCTAGCAAAATAAAAACACATGGAGAACATAAGCTCGATCCTTATTGAAAACAATTAATTATTGGAGACTCTTCTGCATGCTACGCTTAACGTCAATTCTCGGTGAGTTGGTGGAGCTTAGCTTCGCTTTTATTTGCTTCAGGATGCTGGCTAATTAGTCCATCCGGATTGACCAGCTCTCTACTGGCCTCTGTAGGAAGTTGCTTGGGGCAATGCTTCTTCGAAGTGGAAGATCCGGCTGGGACACCATGCATTGATTCAAAATCACGCTTCGGTGATGGGGTTGAGCCATCATCTGAAATGCTTTGGCTGTTACTCTTGACAACCGACAACTAAAACATAGGTGAGGATGAAAAGATTAATCAAAGTTCATATTATGTTGATTACAATAAAAAATGGGTTTAACGTGAATGTAAGAAAACAGGGTGTGTGATATACCTCTATTTTACATGCTTTTTATATGGTTTTACTATGCTTTTCATAAGGTTTTTAATGGCTTCTGATCTAAAAAGGTAGTTTTTATGGATTTATAGTACTTAGAGTCTAAACAGGTCAAAAGATGCATTTTGGAGCAAAACACATGATTTGGACTTCAAGACCGCTCCAGGAGGTAGCATCAACTTAAGAAGGGCCTTAAAAACTATCTACTCAATGGAATTCATCAAATCCAGTTCGAGGAGATGAATACAGGAGTTAGCTTTGCAATGCAACTGAAATCAATCAATTTGACCGAGTAGATTGGGAGATATCTCTATTTCCCTGAGACATATACCGAGGAGATTTATCGGACTGCATCAGTACATCAGACGAGCAGCAGCGGATTAGACCCTTAAACTCAATGGATTTCAATGAAACTCAACACCAAGATAGCCAGATGAGTTATTGTTCTAATGCCGTTGTAAGTATGCAATTTGGATAAGCCGTTTAGGAGATATCACGTTTGTACTGAAGACTGGTCCACAGCCGGCCGAACGCACTCGGCCGGACAGGAAGGGTATTGGCTTCGCTCGGCCTTCTCCAGGACCGATCCGGCCGCACGACCGCACCGTCCGACCCGGGAGGCAATGGACCACGATCGACCGAGATCATCGCATCACGGTCGACCAGACCGAAAATCCAGGTTATCATCCGAAAATCCTCCAAAAACATCATCGTCATCTGGTGAGATATCCTGCAGTACTCTCCTTCCACGTTGTCTCTTCCTCTTTTGTAAGTTCTGTAACCTTGACTCATTTTCACCTGACCATGGAAACCAAATCCTCATCATGATTCTACTTCATCAATTAGACAATAAAATAAAAAAAGGAGA